ATGGTGAAAGTAAGTATGTTGTGGATGTTAGTGAAGTAAACCGTTTTGTCCTTTGTAAAATTATCTTGTCCTTATATAAATGTTTTAATTAAGTACTGGTTGTGATGATGGTGGTTTAAAATTGATAATACAGTGGAAGCTTCAAAGTTTCTTCCATGATACTGGTTGTCTTCCAATCAATCTTTATATTTACAGTAAAGTGTCAGGGTTCCATTGTCAACTTTTTGCCATTATAAAACCTTTATTGAGTGTTAGGCAATATATTAAATTAGAAGGTGTGTATGCTGACTCTATATAATGGGTTTTCACCCCCCTTTGCAGCTGTGGAAGCAACTTTAAAGTTTACGTATGTTGAAAAATACCCAGATGAGCCACCACTTTGGGAGGTCCACTCCCAAGAGAACCTGGAAAACAATGATATGGATGACATCCTCACACTACTGCAGCAACAGGTCTGAACATAACTTCACTACTGTGTGTAAATCTTCCATGGAAATTGACGCCTGATTTGGCTTATATCTTCCTCTCATTCTTGCCTTAAAATCAGTCGAGGATGTTTTGAGTGTTATAGGAAAACAATATACGAACTTGTGGAATAAAATATACAGATTTTATGACAAGGCCTAACTAATTAAAGTGAATCAAAGACTTGTCTTTTCATATAGCTCTCTAAATATATTTATACAGTAAATGTTTATGTACTCTGACTGGTATTTTGAAAATAAGATAATTCAGTCAACTCTTTATAGTTGTTGAACTGTATTCTATGAATGTAATTAGCTTCAACACGGGAGTTTGTCTTTTCTTTTTCTCTGCAGGCAGAAGAAAATCTGGGAATGGTGATGATTTTTACCCTGGTGACAGCCGTGCAGGAGAAACTCAATGAAATTGTCGACCTGATGAAGAACAGACGAGAAGAAGAGAAACGGCGGAAAGAGAAGGAGGCGGAGGAAGCAGAGAAGGTAGTAGCGGGGCACTACACTGTATAACATGGTGTCTTTTGGTCTAAAGTTGTTTTTCCTGGTCCAAATTGAGGCCGATGTGTTACCAGGCTGACCAGTTGCACTCCTACATATCTAGCGCCCCCAACTGGCTCAAACGAATACCTGTTCGGTGAATGAAGGATTGAGATGATTTTTTTTTTTTAATGTTTTCCGTTTTCTTAAATCATTTCTTTTTCTCCAATCTTAAATTACATTTCAGGAACTCTGTTCGATATTAATTAAATCATAAATAACAGCCGTGCTTTATGCATACATTTAAATGTGGTCCTGTTAAAAGTTAGCCATTTCACAGTCAGAGGCCAAACATGTTGTCCTCCTATTTTTAATGTTATAAAATGAAAAGTGTGTATTGAGAAGTAGTGTCTTCACCTTTTTTTGATTATGCAGTACAATTTTGAGTTAAGAGATTAGCCTCTTCGCAAATGCAGTCTGCAGAGGGCCTGTGAGGGTGATTGCATTCAAACGGCTCAAGGTCAGAGCAATGTATCTGGTGTAATTTACTGAGCATGCCTCTCATAGTATGTATGAATCCAGAATTTGGCAGAGGTACCAGCACTCCAATAAACCACAGAGTGTAGAGCACTATTTGGATTGATGATGATGATGATGACGTGCAATGGAAGGTCTCTTAATTTGAATATATGATGAGGCTACTGCACGTGTGCTCGACAGGTGGCGTTCCAGGGCACAGTGGTAACAATTGAGAACTTCCTGGCATGGAAGGCCAAGTTCGAACTCGAAGTGGCTGAAATACGGAGGAAAAAACAGAAGGAAGAGGAGCAATCAGGGAAAGCAAAACTCACAGGTAAATATTTCAACTTCCACTTGCAGCAGTCAGACATTGGCTTTTGGTCTTGACCCTTTACCATCATAAGTAGCGTAATTAAATTAGTCTCCAAACAGTAACATATGAGATATTTAGATAACCTTTTTACAGATTTAAAAGAACACACACCAAATTGATTTTCCTTCATTCTATTGAGCAGTGTGGATGAACATAAAAAAAAAAGCATATCTCAATGGCATCTGATTCCCTAAAAAAAGGTTTGTGTCAAAAATAATGACATACCCTGCACGCTGCCATATTGGACATCACTATGACGTGTTCCCTGCTGTAACACGCTCCTGTTCATTTTGGGCTCGTTTCCACGTCTATTATGCTATATAAATGTCGTATGGCATCGTCAAGTATGCCATAATTTAGAAGGCACTCCGAACCATCACAGGTTTCCTTTGAGAAAGAGAGAGAAAAAAGACATGTATTGCGGAAGTGACGGCCATACAGCATTTTTATAGCACAATAGACAAATATGTCGTTATTTTGATAGTTAATCGGCTAAAACTTTTTTTCAGCAGAATTAGATGCATTGATATTTGTACTTTCATTCTTTCTACACACTGACCAATCCAAGTCTGGAAATTGAATTTTGAGGAGTGTGTTGCTTTAAACATTAGCGTTATCTTCGACTTCATGTTTCCTAAATTAGTGCAAATGATACCAAAGCTCTGCAAGTCGCAAAGCTTCATGACCATCACATGTAAAGTTAGGTAAGGGTTGTTGTGATGGAAGCAAAATTAAAAAAAAAAATAATAATAATTTGTTGTACACAAAGTCTTGATACATTCTCTGGAGTAACTGCTGAGTTTTCATGACAGTGTTACAGATTTGAAATTTGGATATTGATGCTTGAAATTTAAAGGCACATGTTTTTACGCAGGCAAACAACTGTTTGAGACGGACCGTAATCTGGACACATCAGACATCCAGTTCCTCGAAGATGGTAAATGTGTTGATGACGAGATAGAATTCAAGTTTCTGTGGAATAGCGGAATGAAAGAAGCTGATTTCATAGTTGTAACTTGTAGTCTTGTTTTAAATTAAGTTTCTTTACTTATCAGTAAAAGTTACATGAGCAGTGTTGAGAGTTAGGTCAAACTTCAACAGTAACCTCAGTTGAAGAACAACATTTCAAGACCAATATAGCTAAAAAATAAAAAGCATATATGGTATGTGGTAAAGAAATAAAGTGTAAATGATATTTTTCTTCTATCTTCGCTTGGGTGAAGCAAATAGATAAATGTTGAAATATTTGCTGGATTTTGATTCTTGGTCAAAATATATTTATTCAGAACATTGGGGAGGGTCCTCATCTTACAACGGCCTTGTCACGTGACTTTTCGTGTTTAGGAATGGCATAAGACCATGTGGTAATGCAGGATAAGCTGATACGCTCAGTATTTGTAGTTGAAAGTCACTTCTGCCGTCTGTCCTCTCCTCTTTTTCAGCTGGAAACAATGTTGAAGTGGATGAATCATTGTTCCAGGACATCGAGGACTTGGATTTGGAGGATGACGACCCTGACTTTGACCCTTTAGAGATGGGCAGTGATGAGGACTAAAGCTGTCATACCATAAAAAGGCTGCAGGCGACTGACAGAAGCACCATTTCTCTTGTCTGGAATAATGATTACTTGGTCAGAAATCTGAAGAAGATCCAATGCTAAGACACTAACAGCAGTTAGAGAGGGAATCTATGTCAAAGCATCGTTAATTTCCTCCCGTTAAAATGTGCTTTATGAACACTTGACTTCTGGTCCTATCCACAAGGGTGAAATATAATCTTAAGTATGGCCATGTAGTTTATACCGGTAGTGCACAAATGTATTCACTGAATTCAAAATTTCAAAAAAAAACAAAACAAAAAACAAAGCTACTTTATTGGACAAGTGTTCATCTGAAGTACCGGTATTCCAGTTTTGTGGGAATAGCTGGAGCTTATCTTAAATCAACTTCATGTGTTATGAATAACACAAGTTGAATCTCATTTTATTGGGGGAAAAATCATCTTTTGACATACATTTTTTTTTTTTGTCATCTTTCTGCTGCTCAGCTCATTTCGGGGCCATCTATGCAGAGATCAGGAGATTATGATTTGAAATCCTCATTTATCGGGGCTTTCGGCTCATCGGTAGTTGCCACATAATTTGCTTACATCATCTAAGCTTTCATAGTTTTGTTGACCCAACGTCATCAGGGATGGGCTCGACCAGTTGGGTTGAGAGCATCTCAGTTTATTTTAAACTGTTAATGATCTTTCAATTTCCTTTTGCCCCAAATTATACCATATAAACATACAAAATAATTCAGTCTTCATTTTTTTTTATTATAGCAATAGTATATCAGTCACAAATGCATAAATAAAAAAAGTTATAAATGTGCAAAGTATTTCATCCTGGCAACACCCAACACATTATAGCTCTATACTATACCATATGCGTTATCTCGCCTGTTATTAGGGGTGCTGAAACACCCCAAAACAAAAGCTCCACTAAGATGTAAAAAAAAATAAATATATCTGTATATTTTAACTTGTGTTGTTTATAACAATCTGGACAAAACACCTTACAAAGTTGAAACGTCATAATTTAAAGACAAAAATACAGTGCATCCCCCTTTTGCTGACCTCAAAGCGGTGCTTCACCGTCCCATCATGTAGAGCAGCAGGCCGTGAACCGGTACTGGTCAGTGGGTCATTTGGTACTGGGCCGCACATAAAGAACAAATGACTTGCATTACTTCCGGTTTATTCATTGGTAAAGAGAGAGGCACTGAGGTAGCCAGATGAAGTGTTAGATAACGATTGGACATCCGGTGCCTAGTAGACCGCTCTGACAGCAGCACTGAGGAAGACAAAACACGTGACCAGAGGCTTGAAGAGGAAGAGGGTTCAATTCACAAGCAACAAAACAGTATTGAAGAAGCAAAGTCAAGAGAAGACATACTGCTGCTGAGTCAAACGAGCCAAAAGCACAAAAATCTGCAAAGCAAAATGTGATGAAAAAACATTCAGGTGGCAAAAGGCAGAATTTGACCCATCAGGTATTCCATTTTTGAAGAAAGGTTTGGTCATCAGACCGAAATGACTGGTTGCCAATCATAGGCCACATATAGACAAACAACTCGCTCACCTTCACACCATCACAAAGTGGGAACTGAACTCAGGAAGTGAAGTGAACCACTCCACTATAGGTGAGTAATTTTGAACATTTATTAACAAATGAGTGCGGCATACTATACATGTTAAAATGATATAATATTCACATTAAAAACAAAAAGATTGTGAGAAACTTGGGGAGTTTGGGGGAAATCACATTTCAGTTCATGGGATCCTTTCAGCACACAGTGTTCTGGAGTTCAAGATCCGAATCTGTTAAAAGTAAACAAGCAAAAAAAAAAAAAATCACTTGTGATACTTCAAATCACTCAAAATATCATTAACATACAGTACTGTGCAAAAGTCTTGTTTTTATGATCATTTGGACAGCAAAAACACTAAATATTAAGACACGCATTTAGAAGGATCATGTAAAATTTACCATGGGATTTCCACAAAACTTTGTAGTGGATTAGCTCATGCGCCGATGACGGAACTTAATTTAAACATACATATTCAGGAATTTATATTCTTTTAATGCCCCCCGCAATATGTTCATGTTCATCATCACTCAAGAACCCAGAAGCAGCCTGATAATACTGTTAAATAGATGAACAGACCACAACTACATACATTTTTCTCCCACCTTTGTAAATGATGGTGGTCTGGGATCTACTAAATCACATCTTAATGTAGAATTGCAAAAAAAATAAAATCGAATGGCGGGCTGAGACTTTCACACGGCACTGTCAGTACAGTACTATATGCAACACATCTAACCTGTTTCTCTTCAGCAGACAACACACCCTCTACTCCCACTACCTGGTACTGTTTATGTTTCAGGCTGCCAGGAAGCTTTCGGACATGGCGGATGGCTGTGGACGCAGTGTCTCTACTCATCAACTTCATGGTGTCTGACGACGGTGAACCAGGATCCAAAAGCAGAAGGCACAGGCTTCCATTCTTCCGCTGCTCCAAACCCACGATGGAGCGACTATGCCCTAGGGGACAGAGTAACGAGGAAACCTTTGACATAGTATGGTCAAAGTATAAAATAAGATAACACTGGTCAACATTAAAAAAAAAAAAATCAAACGCAAATAAACTTTTCTCGATTAATTTTTTTGCACTAATTCGGAATCTGCCCTTTGCACAAGCCTTTACAGGTCAAACTAAAAAAAAAGGGGAAGAAGAAGAAAATATTTCAAAAACCTGATGTGCATGAAAAAAGTAAGAGATTTTTTTTTTAAATCAACGTCCAAAATACATTCAGGGAAAAATAAAGCCAACTGATTAAAATTGGCTGTTCGCCAGTGTAATATATCCAAGTGGCCACATGCAGCGTGCAAATCTTGGGGTGCAGTATTGCTGTGTGTGTGTGTGTGTGTGTGTGTGTGTGTGTGTGTGTGTGTGTGTGTGTGTGTGTGTGTGTGTGTGTGTGTGTGTGTGTATACCTTGATGCTGCAGGTAGAGTGGGGGCACTAAGGTCTGGATGATTCTGGGAGGCAATCTGTTACTCCTGCTGGATTGACTGAAGTACTGTTTGACCCACTCAAAGAGCCGGGGATGGGTGCCTCCTGGACCTGTTGGCTGGTGGAAGTCAACGATGCGGCCACTGAGAAAAAAAAATGATGTCATTTATACCTCCTGTATCATTTAAATCAATCCACTGCTTATTTTTCAAAGCAGTACGCAACCACCTCGCCAGGGACCGGTATTGCCACGTGGGACATTTTGTGCCAGGCTGCAAAGAGGGACTGAACACAATACATTTTTGGAAATGTAATTGTGAAATGACATTTGCATTCCCGACAAATGTGTATGTGCACACAATGTGGCATGGTGTTTATAGTCCATAGATAAGTTATTTCACTTTGTACAATAAGAGGATCGGTTTGCACAGGGCTGTAGAATTCATAGAGTTTAGTTGAGACCAGACTGGTTGAACTGTGTGTGTGTGTGTTGTGCAAAAGGGGTAATTAGAATTACAAAGCGGATGCCTGCCCACGACCTTTGCACAGAACTGCAGGATATACAGGATGCCAAATATGACATATTACTCAACACCTGTACTTGAACACCGAGAAAGAGACCGGTGGTACTTGCTCTATGCCATCTACTCTGCCTTTCTAGACAGGTGTACTGTAGCACTTTCATGATCAATTCAATTCACATTCATTAAAAATATTGGTTGTAATTTGTAAAAGATTTTTGGAATGATATGTCAGGTTTTTTTCTCTCAATGTCCTGAAAAAAAATGTACAGACTGTTTTAGAAGACAGCAAGTGTATCTTATGAAAGGATGCTCATGCAGACATCCAGTATAACAGAGCTAAATGATCTACTAATTAAAATGACTACTCATAGAAAGTAATGTAACTCATATATGGCTCAAGTGAAAAAGTTTAAATATTCCCCAATTCAGCTCCAAGTTTAATGGTAAGCACCTGATTCCTAGCGACGTGAGGAGGACGTAGATCTCTGTGGCACCAATCCAGGCTCTTGTTCCCTGTAGCTTATGGTTAAAGTGGGATGCACCTTGAGGATCCAGTCCTAATTTCCATGCATCCTCAATCATACTCTGCACCCGTGGGATACTTGGCACTGATTTGTCTGGGGCAAAGAGAGCATCAAATAAATAAAAGTTGTGTATATTAAAAAAATTAACTATTGTCTTTTCATTTCCTGATATGCAACTGGTGTGGTAATATGAGGAAGTTTGTGGAAGAGATATGCGTCAGTTTCGAGAAAATAGCTGTGTTATATGCCATATTTTTGTGAAATTACAAAAAAAAGGTGAGACCAAGATAAATCATTTTGGAACTTTTTTTCCACCAGTGTGACCTATAACTTCTACAATTCTACTGGAAAAAAAAAAACAAACTTTTTTAAAGACAGCTGGGATAGGCTCCAGCATGCCCGTGACCCTTGTGAGGATAAGCGGATTGGAAAATGGATAGACTTCAGATGTACAGGTTATTGGTCACATTAACGGTGGGAAAGGTTTTGACATGATTTATCTTGGTCTCACTTTTGGTGAAACTTGAAACATGGCATTTGAGCAGGGGTGTGTAGACTTTTTGTATGAACTCTAAGTAGCAGGTAACATGGATGGTGATGTGAACCTTTTCTCTCATTCCTTCTGAGTGTACCATCAGTGGAAATTTGCCCCTGTGCTTCAGAGAGTATTTACGGGGTACTACGTTTGTGCTCATTTCAAATTGAGCAATTTGCTTTTCGCGTGTAATTAGAGCCAACTGTGTAAATTCAAAATTGGATGTTCATATTAGGGTGGCTAAAATGGCGCACCTTGTAAAGAGGAAGCAAATGCATCTAGTCTGTAAAGGGAGGAGAGCAGCATCTGGAAGTTTCTGTAACCGCAGCCCCAACCTTTGTCTCCCGGCGACGAGCAATAGTGGTCAGTGTCAGCGCTCAGCCACACATGCACACAATCTCTGCATTCAGTCTGATAGTACTGATACAAGGCTCCAATGACACCTAGGCAAAGGTGAACAAAAATACATGGGGAAACGACAACAGTTCAGCTGAAGGATATTCAAAATGGCAAATCAGCAGTTACCTCGTCCTGAGACTTCCTCAATTTAACTATACGCCATCAATTCCTAATGCACTGTACTTGAACTGCTAGCAGATATAACAATCGAAGCAAATCATTAAAATAGTGATCATACTGTACTGTACTTGGATACTAGCTAACCTTATCATACACAAATTTAAAATCACCTGGTCTACAAATTAAAGAAATATCTGCTAGCACAGACATGTATTTTATTAGGAATATTGTAGTGGTGAGGATAGTCAACAAATTAGTCTATTTATGTTACTCACTATTTCCCGAGTTTATTTTGTTTGCTGCAAGCACAGCTCAAAGCTGTTTAGCTGCATGCCACAAAACTTTGTAATGAAACACAGGCCAAGGAAAATGATGTTTAAATTGAGTGCAGACCTGGATTCTACATCCAGGATTATCATTCTTCATAACTGAAAACTCACATTCACAGATCACTGCAGCCCTTGCATTTAAAGAAAATATTTGCATTGTTTGTACAGTATGTTTTGTTGAGGTGGCAATTCTCATTTGTAACAGAGCATCCTAGTTGGAATACCGCCAGACCTTGCTTGTCCCCGCAAAAAGAAAAAAAAATGCAACTACTTGAGTGATTGTTGAGATGCTAGTCTGCATCCAGACTAATGCCTGCCGCACTCCAAAAAGATAAACAGCTATGTAGCAAGTTTAAAAATCATGTAACTAAATTGATTATGCAGTAAGCATACATTTAACCAACCCATTCTTATTGGACAATTGTTCAGATTAAAAGAAGGAAGACTTGGTGCAGTCGAGGCAATGTTGAAGAACTGGTTGAGTGTACATACATAGGCTGAAGTCGAAATTAAAAACGCGTCGTTACATCCGTGTCCATTATTGTACTGTAGTATAGGAGCAAGAATGTTCAATGGTAATTATACACCACAAAGCACTGGAATGCTTATTGGATGATGGATATATTTCCCCCCGCCCATGTAGATCAGAGACAGAATGACGGACACGCAGATAGATTTATGGAAACTCGATTTCTGTCAATCCGGCGGTGTGTCTTTTCACTTTTTGCAGAATGTCGGTCGAGGCGCAATGACAGACACATACCCTGAGTTCTGGTCCTGCCGTCATCAACCCCTGAGGCAAGAGACTCCATCATCTCCACCTTCTTAAAATGATACTCTGCGGGGGCCATGATGCCCCTGGCCACATCTCTCTCCATGGTTTTCTCCATCTGTGCGCGATATCCGCCACTGCCGTCCAGTCCAAACTTCCTCTGCACATGCAACATACCACACGCAGGTCCAACCGATATGCAGAAACTTTAGAAAAGCACATGACAAAACTACACAAGCATGTGCTACTGCCGTTAAATAAAATGTGAAAGTTCTCAGCTACTACATCTGCAGTGTTCTGCTCTGAAAACTTCAGACCTGCAACTTTTTAAACTGCTCCTTCTCCAGTCGGGTCTCCTCCTCCCTCCTCTTCTTCTCCATTTCCTGCTGAAGTCTCCAAGCCAGTCTTGCGTCTGAATCAGAGCTCCCTGAAGCAATGGCAAACAAGTGTCACGTGGTTATAGTTTACTTTAAGATGAATAGGTCTCTATAATTAGATACATTAGTTGAAATCATGCGAAAAAAACCCACCTGCTCCATTGTCTAAATGCAGTTCCACATGTTGCTGCAGAGAGGCGCTGTCGCTGCAAACAGCTGGACACATTGGGCACTCAAGTTTCTCGGCTGCTAAAAGACATTTTGGAAACCTCATGTCCTGTAAGTCCATTAAAATAACTTGAAAAACAAATTGATCTTTGATTTTCATCAACCTTGGCACATCTGTGGTCCAAACTCAACATTTTAACCTATATCAGGAACGCTCTGGGGGAACCAGAGATTATTTTTGACTACGAGTCCAGTTTCTTGGTACATCATTTTAACTAAAAGGACATTGCATGTCTTCTGAGGAAAGCAGCAAACCTTGTCTTTCATATTCAGGCAACATTAACAAATAACCCCAAAAACAGATTCATTGTGCACATTAAGGTGATTTATTTTGTCTTAATTTAATTTGGATAATCTATTTTCAGTATTATGGCCTCTTGACACATTAGTCTCTATTACAAAGTACCTTCGGCAGAGTGCTGTTCCTGCAGGTGTAACTCAACATGCTCCTGCAGAATGCCGCTGCTGCTGAAATCTAGTGCACACATGGGGCAAGACAATGGCTCTGTTAAAAAAAAAACAAACAAACAAAAAAACGAAACCATCAACTCTATCTTTTAACTCTTAAAAGGATTTCGAAGTTTAACATAAAAAAATACCATTCTTTGGAGAAGCTTGGCGCTTTTGTTTGGGACTTTTCTGCTCAGATAAATATCCAGCATTTTCCACAACAGGAATGCTCAGGCCAACACCACGTTTTATTTTGGGGTTTACAGATGATGAGATGGCTGAAGTCCCCTCTGATGTTAAAACCCCTTTAATTTGCGTTGGCTTGGCATCTGCTCTCTCTTGAAGTGGGAATGAGTCACTGGATGATCCGCAGGGTTTTGCTTCTGAATCTCTACCACAGCTACCTGTAGTCTGGGGATATTCAATCTCTGTAAAACTTGTGCTGATTGTAGAAGGACAACAGGAAGTGGAGTGAGATGACTTTTGGATTTTGTGCTGGTAGTCTGGATGTGCAGCGCTAATATGGTCGCAAAGTTCATCATAGGACACTCCATACAAAGAACATAGTGCGCAGTGCATGTCATTTTCCAGATGGCTAAGGAGCATATGTGTCTTCATGTCCTCTTCCAGCATTATTTCCTCACTGCATATCACACATGTCAGCATAGCCACAGCCTGTTAATTTAAAATAGAGCCAGATTAATAATTTTGAAAGAAAAATGTCAAACCTCTGATTAGGACACCTACATTTTCTGAGATATTGAGGCATCACGTGAGCTACTGATTCATTAACAAGTCACCAATTCACAAGATTTTTATATATGATTTATTGATCAAATGCCAAATTGTTCCGCATCTTCCGGAAATGTGAAGCAGCAAATCATCTCTGAATAAATGTTGAGCCACAGGCTATTCAACGTTATAAAGATTTTGAAATGTGGACTTCGAGAGCCAACGCAAGTAATGAGTAAAACGTTACGTGATTATTTACTAAGTCATACAGTGCTTGATGCAAAGCGGCAAACTTGAACACACGTATATTGTTGCCTTTCAAATTTACACGGCAGTGGTTACATAATAACATGTAAATTTACTTACCGTAGGAACGATGCCCTATTATATACATTAGTCAAGACATTTCTCGTCTCAGTCATGCGATTTAAGAGACTTCCGGGCTCAATTTTCATTATAAAATAACAACAACGTGCAGGCAATGCACTAAAAAGTGGATACAAAAATAAAAATGTTCATTTTTTTCCCCTTGTAGCTTTGTTTATTTTAAATAAACATTTATATCATAGGACCGCTTAATATCTTCTCTAATGGCAGGGAATTACCGTCAAGTTTATATTTTGGTGCCTCAAAACCGGAAATTAATCGACAGCTGGCGGAAATGACGAATGTCTTGTTGTCGCGAGGTGTTTTCTGGGAAAGTTATCACTAGGACGCCATTTTCCTCTACCGACAGGGTTGGGAGATTTGTAAGAATTGGAGTTTTTAAACAGCTGCAACGTTTTCAAGGCCGTCAAATCTTGAGTGGGTAAGAATCAAGTCCCGTATTCGGTGTTGAATATGTTGTTATCACTGTTGAATGTGAACACACCAGTGGGTGGGAATATCTGCTTCTGTAAGAGGCTAGCCCTGGTGCTAGACGAGGAACAGATTCAGAATAGCCAAAAACAAATATTAAATAGTAGCAATTCCAGAAAACCAAGTCGCAGTTTGAAGTACCCTCAAAAGCCCTTTTGTTCGGCTTTTTTAAACAGTGGAATCATAGTTTCGGAAGATGTGTGCGAGGACTAAAACTGCAACTTTAGCATTTGACAGCCGTTTTAAGGGGTAAGCCCTGATACGGGTAACGGTTGATAAACCTAAAAATGTCGTGGAAAGATTGACATTGAATCGCTGTAGTGTTTTTAAGTGTTTGTCAGAAACCCAATACAGTGTAACGAATCTAAAGATTAATTCTTTATCCGCGTTCTCCACTCAACACAAGCCCTTTACCAAACATAGATGCTGTCATTCTTTATTTTTATTTTATTTTGGGGGAGTTGGGGGGGGGTGTCTTTGCTCATTATTGGTCAGTAGTAGTGCGGGAGTTGGATACTTTCACGAGCTGTTAGAATAAATTAGAAATGTGAAAACTTCTAAGGACTAACATTGCACATTAGTCTATGATCAAGTAACTTTCATGCCTTAATGAGTGAGTGATAGACTTAGAATCTCCAACCAGCATCTGCAGCAATTGTTAAAATGAATCGTCACAATGTCACTTTGTCAGGCATCTTGCCTCTTCAGACCATGGCGAGTCCAGGGAAAGATAGCTACAGGATGAAGAGCTACAAGAACAAAGCCCTGAATCCTCAAGAGATGCGTCGAAGGAGAGAGGAAGAAGGAATCCAACTGCGCAAACAGAAACGAGAGGAGCAGGTTAACACTCACCTGGGATGGGACCATGGGTGTCACGATCACACACTGCTGCTGTTGACAGAATTGAGACACAATTGTCACTTAATGCTCATGTGCTGCAATTACGAGGAAGTAAAAAATGTTCTGCGCATGACAAGATGATGCGCAGTTGATTGACATGGAGTTTGTCAGTTAGTCTTTATGTACCGTGACTTGTGATTGGCTGATGTAAGAGTTAGTTGCCGTATGCCATTTACTCGGGAGTGGCTTCCGTCTGGCCACTCTACCATACAGGACTGATGGGGGGAGTGCTGCAGGGATGATTTACATATTGGAAGGTTCTCCCTTTACAGAGAACCGCTGGAGCTCTGAGAGAGGGACCATTGGGTTCTTGGTCACCTCCCAGACTTAGGATCTTCTCACCCAATTGCTCACTTTAGGTGGGGCCCCAGTTCTAGAAACGGACCTGGTTGTTTGTAACTTCTTCACATCCAGTCAACTGCATTTACCACAGTTGGACTCCAATTAACCTTTAGGAACCTCTCAAGGATGACCTGTGAAAACATGATAGGCCTGAGCTCAACTTTAAGCTTTGTTGATTTTTAATAAATCTATATATTTTTTCACATTGTCAGTATTGGGTGTTGTGTGTAGAAATAAGCTATAACAAAACATAACATAAAAAGTGTACCGGATATACTGTAAAGTGACATTTCTGGCAAAATTTAACAGTTCCATTAGCAAGAGAGGAAGGCTGTGTATGATTGACAAGTGAAACAAATTTTATTTGCAAAATGTCGAATACATGTCAAGTAGAAGGTAAATCATATTCCAACAACTATGCCCACAGCTGTTTAAGAGGAGAAACGTATGTACACCGGCAGGTGATGAATCAATGTTGGAATGTCCAATCCAGGATCCAGACATCAGCTCAACAGTACCTGTTGCCAGTGTAAGTCATATTACATGCATCATCAAATCTTTGTTTAATCAGAGCAGTGAGTATTCATCAATGTGTGTTTACTTTTTATTACTGTCTGCATATGTATAAACATGAAAATATCTTTCCTCTACTACTGTGGCTACTTTTATGAAGGCCATAATTCTTGCCTCCACCTTATATATTTATTTATTGTTTTTATTTATTTAGCTGTTGTAGCTGATGCATAATGTGTATATGTAGTTATACGCTATATTGTGTGTGTATACCAAGTGTCCATATTGCTGCTTTGTTTAATCTATCTGATGTCGACAGGATGGATTCATAACACCTGATATGATTCAGATGATCTTCTCTGAAGAGCCAAATCATCAGCTGATTGCTACACAAAAATTCAGAAAACTACTTTCCAAAGGTTTGTTTTTACACTCTAGAATTTCGAATATTTATTTGCCTAAAGACAATGAATGTACAGTACAGTGGAGTGGAAATGTTCGACAGATCTATTTTATTCCACATATTCTTGGTTGTCATCTTTGAGGGTTTTTTTTTCTGTTGCTGGTCCCTCTCTTTGGAATGACCTCCCTATAAACGTTAGGCAAGCTCCCTTGCTGCCCATCTTTAAAATTAGTTTTAAGGGTTAAAACTTTTTTTTTGCCTTGTGTCTCAGCATGACTTGATTTTAGTTTTACTGTTTTTGTGCTTTTTACTGTCTTTTTTAATTTATTGTTTTATCGTTTGTTGTTGTGTGTCTTTTTGCTCAATGTTTAGCACTTTGTATACAGCGGTGGTTGTTTTCAAGTGCTCTATTAATACAGTTGAGTTGAGACTTTTTTCATGTTTGTGATTTTCAAAACACCGCTGCCACATTGCTTTTATTTTTTACCCTTGTTTTGTCTTAAGAGCTGTCCAATTCCTTCTTTTTTATTTGTTATTGACTGAAGGTAAACATGTATGTTAATAACGTTTAGCGTTATCTGTGCTTTGTGCGTGCGTGCGTGCGTGCGTGCATGTAATTTAAAAACTTCACTTTGCATTTCTAGAGCCCAACCCACCCATAGATGAGGTTATTGCTACTCCTGGAGTTGTGAATCAGTTTGTTGAGTTCCTGAAGAGGAGTGAAAACTGCACATTGCAGGTAAAAAGCTTTTCTTAGCCACACAATGCTAAACGTGTGTGCTTAAATTTTGACACTCACAATAGTGCTTCAGCTATGTTTTTACACAGCAAACAAGATTTGCTGGATTGTATTCAAGTGTTTCTGTCTGTTTTGTGTTTGTTTACAGTTTGAGGCAGCCTGGGCTTTAACCAATATTGCCTCAGGCACCTTCCAGCACACCAAGGTTGTGATTGAAACAGGAGCTGTGCCTATTTTCATCGAGCTGCTGAATTCCGAGTACGAAGATGTACAAGAACAGGTGAGAACCGTTGTACGCAAATGCAAACATGAGTAGACAATGCATTGTCAGCAGAATTGTTGATTCCCTAAAGCTACATCACTGCCACACACACACACACACACACACACAGAGACAGACAGACAGAGACAGACAGACAGAGACAGACAGACAGACAGAGAGAGAGAGCATCCATCATTACATACATACATATACACGAGAGAGAGAGAGAGACAGAGAGAGACAAAGAGAGAGAACATCCATCATTACATACATACATATTGTACATACATATACACACGTGCGCACACACAGTATTTTATGCTTAGCCCTTAGATCAGTGATTCCAACCAGTGTGCCGGGGCAATTGAGTGTGCCGTGAGAGCTCCAACGGTGTGCCGCGAGAAAATGATATCTTAAGAACAAATAATGTATTTTTGTCCTTCGATCTATGCCAGCAATTTATAGTGACAGAAATGTGAATAGAGACAGAAATGTGATGAGACCTTTGGTAAATCTTTTGGCGGCATAAAGCTGATTCATAAAAATTAACAAATGCATTGCGTGACATTTGAAGATGCAGGTTTCAAAGTTTGGGGGAAAAGTAGCGGTTTATAGTCCGGAAAGTACAGTAACTTGTTGACAAAGACACATTCTAAGAGAATCAGCTAAAAATGAGGATTTAAAATCAGGCCTGGGGACAAGTACATTTGTAAGTTTCACGCCTTTTTGACTGCTATTCTTGAAAAGTCATTAAATTAATTTGCATGCGGAACACCGCTCGCTTTCATGACCAACAATATACAGTCCAACAATATCAACATCGGTTTTCTACCTTTTGGACAAGCAAACAGGAAATGTTGAGCTCCTCTGGTGGTTCACAAGCACAACAATAGTTGGAACTCTATTGACTGTGGTGTGTTTCAGGCTGTGTGGGCGCTGGGCAACATTGCTGGAGATAATGCAGAGTGCAGGAACTACGTACTCAACTGTGGCATCCTGCCTTCACTACAGCAGTACGTTTTTCTTCCTGACACTGTTCTGTCATTGTGTTGAACATTATTGAGTCACATCTAAATAATTCTGCACGCTGCCGCTCCAGGCTACTTGCAAAATCCAATCGGCTCACAACAACTCGAAATGCAGTTTGGGCTCTGTCCAACTTGTGCCGTGGGAAAAACCCGCCACCAGATTTTTCCAAGGTCAGTTATCAAGACTAAATGGAGGAATACAACAATTGTGCTCCATCTTCTAGTTTTTCTTTTTGAATGTGACTTTATTCTTGTAATAAAGATGTTCCTGTCTTCTTTTAATTGCTGTCAGGTGTCGCCGTGCCTTAGTGTGCTGTCCAGACTTCTTTTTAGCAGTGATCCAGACGTCCTCGCTGATGCTTGCTGGGCCCTGTCCTACTTGTCTGACGGTCCCAATGAGAAGATCCAGACAGTCATTGACTCTGGGGTCTGCCGCAGGCTGGTAGAGCTGCTCATGTAAGAAACATTCAACTTATCTTTGCAAAAAATAATAAAAGTCAATAAAAATATGCTGAAAATTTAATCATGAAAGCAGGCATTGCTTTTGAATAGCAGGTATGGACAAAAATGATGGTATCCTCAGCTTACTATTTTGGTGCACAACCTTTTGAGGTAGTTACTGCAATCAAATGATTTTTGTAACTTTCAAGAGGACTTTTGCATCTATCAGCAGGTGTTTTGGTCCACTTCTCAGGAGCAAGCTGCTCCAGTTGTCCCACATTTGAAGGGTGATTTCTTTCTTCAGACAGCATGTTTCTGGTCTTTCCGTGGATGTTAGATCAAGGCTCATAGAAGGGCACTTCAGAATGGTTCCAATATTTTGCTCTTGACTGTTTTTAGTTGTGTTCGGGTCCATTATCCTATTGCAAGACCCTTGACCTGCGACTGAGACCATGCTTTCTGACACAGGGCAGCATTTTTCTCTCTGGAATATCTTGATAGTCTTGAGATTTCATTGTACACAGATTCGAGACGCACTGTGCCATATTCTGTAAAGCAGCCCCAGAACAAAACACAGCCCCCTCCATGTTTTATACGAAGGACAGTGTTCTTATCTCACTATGCCTTATTTTTGTATCTGTGAATATTGAGCTGATGTGGCTTCCCAAAGAGATTTTTTTTCTCATCTGACGATAGGACATTCTCCCAGAAGCTTTGTTACGTGTCAACATGCAGTTGCATACAGGTAATTTCCAGTCGCCCCTTTTAATGATTTTCAAAAGTGATGTCCTCCTGGGTTGTCTTCCATGAAGTTCACTTGGGCTCTTTTTAATCTCCTGCGTCAAACTCTCCCCTTCGCTTCCTTTGGTGCAGTGCAGGCACTGCTTGCCACCCTTTAAATAGGAGGACTGACCGTTTACAAGTTTGAAGTCACCTAGGTTGTCCCTATGGCCGCTTCTAGGTGTACCTCATTTTTGTCCAGCCCTGTTTTTCAAAATAATTTTGTTAAACCACAATTTAAAAGCAATGTCTGATTTTAATTGGTTAATTCTCATCAAAGTTTCATTTATTGTTACTCTTGTCAGATTCAAGTTATTTGTGTGACCACTGGATATTTCTTTCACTAACAGAATGGTATCAACAATTGTGTCCAGGTCAGCTTGACAACAAAGACAGTTGTTTAATTGGTGTGTTTGTGTGTGTTCTCTCATAAGGCACAGCGACTACAAGGTCGTTTCTCCTGCTTTACGGGCAGTGGGCAACATTGTTACAGGAGATGACATTCAAACGCAGGTCGAGTCCAACGAATCACTAAGCTCACACGCACTGGATTTATGTCCTGCTTTTGTTCTTCTTGAATGTGGAGTAAATGTTGTTCTCATCTCTTTTTCATCACAGGTGATCTTGAACTGTGCAGCGCTGCCTTGTTTACTACATTTGCTCAGCAGTCCCAAGGAATCTATCAAAAAGGAGGCCTGCTGGACTGTGTCGAATATCACGGCTGGAAACAGAGCTCAGATTCAAGTAAATGCTGCTTAAAACAGATTCCATTTTTCCTGTCTCAAGGCAGGTGGATTTATTTGATTGCTGCGTTCCTCTTACCAGAGTGTGATTGATGCCAACATCTTCCCGATACTGATTGAGATTCTTCAGAAGGCAGAGTTCCGCACAAGGAAGGAGGCAGCGTGGGCTATAACCAATGCCACCTCGGGCGGCACTCCTGCACAGATCAGGTACCAAATGTTTTATCTTATTCATTTCCTCTGGAAGTGGGCAACATGTGTCACCATAAATAATAAAACTTTACATTGGACAACTTCCTGGTCTAAGATGAACGGTGCGTATTTCAAATCAAGTCGTCCCTCTCATCCACTCAGCCATGAGTCTGATTTACCCGGCCCTCACCCCACATACCAAACACTTTCGGTAGGAAAATGTCGATGTGATTCCTTATTTGTTCATGTCTTTTGGTTTTGCCTTTGTGTTTACTTATTTGTGTTTTGTGATTTTTGATTTGCGGTTGCGTTGAATTTTTTCCTTGTGATTTTTTTTTTTGTTTGTTTGTTTTTTGTAATTCTCTTTTGCATTTTTTCCATTTGCTATTATTTATAGTTTTTTTTTTTTTGTTGTTTTTGTGTTTTGCACTTCAGGGCCTCCATACTTAACTTTTATGGGGCGCTCATTTAGCTGTATTTAGATGTAAGTGCCCAACTGGGGCATCATTTAATAGGAAAATAAGCAACTTTTCCAACATATTGTGACAACAGAGAAACATAACACAACGATTGCAATATTGTACGTATTTTTCAGTCCTTACATGTGACTTTCAAGGTCATTCAATGAAACTGGCTTACTTGCTGATTTCTCTTTTGTGTGAATAGGTACCTGGTTTCTCTGAGTACTATCAAGCCCATGTGTGACCTTCTCACCGTGATGGACTCTAAGATCGTGCAGGTCTCTCTGAATGGTCTGGAGAACATCCTCCGACTGGGAGAACAGGAGGCCAAAAAGAATGGAACAGGCATCAATCCTTACTGTGCGCTTATCGAGGAGGCTTACGGTACAGCTCTGCATCTTAGCACCCAGCTTGCACAGTCGGACATGACCAATGTTACCAATCATAAGATATTCCCAATACACTCACTGGGCACTTCTTTCGCTTAGCTTAGGTCGAGCCTCAGTAAGGACTACAGCTAACATTTTTACTTTATAAACATAATGCTCAGTTTTGATGGAAACAGTAAAATTAGATTTGATTTTTTTTCAATACATTTTTTTTCTCTTATTTGGAAAACTTTCGTGTATAAAAAAAAAACACGTTTTTAACTCGGGTACCTTTTAGGGAACCCATGATAAAAGACGCAAGGATGGTTTGACATAATTTGCTCCTTGGTTCGACGTCCTCATCCTCAGCTCACGTGTTCAGTCCCACACCGGGATTCTAAATCAATACAAATTGTACATCCATGCACATTTTTAGGCAGCAAAAAAAACAGATTGAAGTTCAGAAATGTTAAAAAAAAAAAAGGTAAACTAGGTGAAAAACTTGACAAAAAAACAGCATGGTTGCCAACTAGAAATCCTCTTTGTGAACAATTTGTCTGAATTTCCATATTTTTAACATTTTCAAAAACATTACTGGATTATTGCAGTTTCATGGTTCGTTCTGCGAACCGTCTCAGCATAGATGACCTGACAGATGAGTGCTGTGCTTTTCACACTATTTAACCATCATTGAATCTGAGCATAACTCATTGCGATAGTTTCCTCTTTTTTTTTCTCCATTATTAGACCTCAGAATGACCCAAAACGCCACATAAAACTCGATGTCTCCTCCAGCGGCAACAAATAGAAAGCTCTCATGTGTGCAGCCGGAAATTCCACTTCAATACACACACTTCTTTCTATCCCGATTCCAGCAGTGACTGCCTTAATGCCATTAACGTGGCAAAAAAAAGATAGGTTTCCCTGGATCGTTTTTTTGTGTCTAAAAAAAAAAAAAAAACTACTACAAAAAAAAAATCCCATCCTTTTTTGTGTGCACATCAGGCTTGGACAAGATTGAATTCCTGCAGAGTCATGAGAACCAGGAGATCTACCAGAAGGCCTTTGACCTGATCGAGCACTACTTCGGTGTGGATGAGGAAGACGCCAGCTTGGCACCACAGGTGGACCAGGGTCAGGGCCAGTTCATCTTTCAACAGCAGGAAGGACCCATGGAGGGTTTCCAGCTCTAACATTCCCCCCCTTTGCCGCTTCATCATTTTCTTGATGTCAAGGATCTCGCTATCTGACAAACTGGGTCCTGATCTAGTCTCTCCAGGGGTGGCTCCACCAGCCCCCCCCCCCCGCCCCCCAAGACCATCCACATCCTCCAGGCCTTCAAAAAACAAACATCTCTGAAATGACGTCGAGATGTGTGAATACTGAGGTAAATATGAGAGCATTAGGCCCATCGATGCTTCCCCGACACAGGCGAGCTTGTAAGGGGTGGTCGTACCTGCACTAAGGGGGGGGGGAAAGCATCCTGTTTTGATATAGTATATCTTTTGGTTTCCTTTGATCGGTCATGATTGGAAACCAGTCTAACAATTCACATTCATCTCCGTATTGAAATGTGAATTTACAGACCTCTTTAGTCCTCAGATGGGGTGGTAAAATCCTTCAATCATCAGGGAGGATTTTACTCTGTTCTGGTCAAATTTTGAAGGGGTGCCTGTCTGAAGACTAAACGGGTACTGGATGTAAATACAGTGCAACTATTAAGTCCTCAGAGCCCCCCTTCCTCTTGATAGACAACTGGGTGGGTTCTGTTCTTATTTATTTACTGTACATTGCGTGAGGGCTGAGTAGATCCCATTCAAGGATTGTAGCCTAAACTAGCGATGTAATTGTGAAATGATTAAGGAGGATTGATTTGGAGGGCCTTGTGTATCCTACATACGTGTTAGAGTGTTTAAATGGCAGTGGGATGTCAGTGTATGAAGGTGTAGTGTTTACAGTCATGACTGCTTTTCCTTGATACCTCAATAATTAGGAAGAGGTTCATCTACTCTGAACTTGTATGCTTTTTTTCTTTTTTTTTTTGCTTTGTATTGGGACATGGGTGGTTGAAGTTGTGTAACAGAAGCACAGTGTTAGGGTTTTTTTTTCTATGTGATCCCTCAACCATACATTTACCATATTTCTTGCACATAAATGCACAATTGATTACTGCAATGTTAATTGGTGGACAACAAGAAATGATCTATATTTACATGGAAATATTTGTAATGCAGAAGTTATTTCATCTAGCACATTCAACAGTGTATAGTTTTCTAATATTTCTGGTTTGTATGATCTTATATCATTTTTTTAGGTTTTATCAGTACATTTCATATTTGAGAATTCTGTTGCGGTGTTGTGGCTCTCAGTAGAAATCCAGATAGACCTGCAGTAGTCTATGTACAGGTGAGACATATCCTACAGCCAAACTTTGAGACTTTGATTTCGGACAAGTCTGGAAGTGAAGCTGTATTATGTTGCTGGCAATGCCTGTGTCTGGAATACACACCTGATATTGTCTGGCAAAAACTAATAAATGGACCCGTTGGATATAGACTCTACCCACATTCCTTTTTGCATTAGGAGTTAAAATGTTATATATACAGCATGAATTGCAAATTGTTATGGGCACTTACGCGAACTTGATACTGTACTACCAGTGGTCCCCAACCACCGGGGACTGGACTGGTACCAGTCTGTGGAATATTTGGGACTGAGCCACACCGAAGATCAACAAAACAAGATTGGAGTGTTTGTCAGATTCTGAACGTTTTCATTTTTAGTAGGTTAGAGGTGTGGGTCTCAAATAAAAGACGATTTGGTACTGTACGTATATCCATACATGGGGGACAATACGATTCAAGAACGTTATATTACTCAGTGGGTTTGAGATTTTATATGGCACAGCTGTGTAAATGATAACATAATAATGAACGAAATTTGAGCAAATGTGTTATTTTCAGAGGGAAAAAAAATAGCTCTTCAAATTCATTCGTACCCAAAAAGTAGTTCTGGGTTACAAAAAAGTTGTTGACTCCTGGTTTATATGAAACGGGTTTGTAGTTGTTCCCAAGCCATTGGTGCTTTTCTTAGGCTCCAATTAGCCTTATTTGCTGACGTCAATATAACTTGACACCACATCTCCATTTCACAACACGGCATTTGAACCATCTGATTTTGATTCACAGCCATTTGACAAAGAAATATGATACTGTCATGGGAAAGCATCACTGGAAACAAATTCCATGGTACATGCAGGGTGCACTGACCTGTATCCCCCACTTTTTACAGGGTTTTGGGTATGCGTAAGTTTTGTACCACTTGGGAGGAATCATGTTCTTGCATGTATTGACATAGCCAACGACCATCCATCTAATCTTTGGCTTACCTGGGTTCGGGGCCTAATTAGCTCTCTCCCCTGCCCATTCGCACAGTTTTTCCGGGGGAATCCGATGCAGTCCTCAAGCCAGCCAAGAGTTTCTCCAGGGTCTCCTGAGTCTTCTATTGGGCCTCCTGTTGTGATGTGCCTGCCACACTTGACCAGGAGACATTCTAACCAGATGCTCCGGCACCTTTTTTCTGGCTTCTTTTGATGTGGAGCAGCAGTAGCATATCAAAGGGAGAGCCCAGACACACTGCTGTAGTCGCTTATATTTTCTTATGTGACGTGCCTTAAATGAATTTCCCTCGTGGATTAAATTAATATAATTACGTTATATTGTATATTATAATAATACAATATATTGTTTCGCAGGGTAGCACGGTAGTCGGCTGGTTAGGACGTCGGCCTCGCAGTGCAGAGGTGCAGGGTTCGATTCTGTCTCCGGCCTTCCTGTGTCGAGTTTGCATGTTCTCCACTTGCCTGTGTGGGCTTTCTCCGGGTACTCCGGGTTCCCCCCACATCCCAAAAACATCTGTGGCATGTTAATAGAAAACACTAAATTGTCCCTCAGTGTGAGTGTAAATGCGGATGGTTGTTTTGTCTCTGTGTGCACTGTGATTGGCAGGCAACCAGTTCAGGGTGTGCCCCGCCAACTGCCCGTAGACATTTGGGATAGGCCCCAGCATGCCCCGCGACCCTAGTGAGGATAAAGCGAATCGGAAAATGGATGGATGGATACTGTTTCGCATAGGTCAACGCGATATCTTCCTGTCGCGCCAGTTTTGGAGAGAAGACAGAAAATTTGTCAAGAAGACAATAGATCGCGCTTCCATGAAGAAGCACTGCTGACCTCACCCTCCCTTACAAAAAAAGGAGTTTATAAAGTATACTTTATAAAGCATATATTGTATTTTTTATCACACTAAATTGGAACAAATTAAGGTTTAAAACTATACTCTTAAGTATCTGTATACTTTTCAGTACAAGCCAAGTATACCTAGCTATACAATTGTGAAGTTTATAAAATATATATTTAAAAAATATACTTAAAGTACTGTATAACGCATATAAAAATAACGCATGTCACATTCTGAAGCACACAGTTCATATCTCAATTTTAAATGTTTACAGTTTAGTTCAGTACTCTTAAAGTCATTGATTTATAAAATACAGTATATACTGTATCTGATGTTGGATATGGGTTGTTTGTCGCTATAGTAGCCGATTGAAAAGAAAGGGGAAGTCAAGTCAAAAATTGTCTTTATATGTTCTATGCACCTCCGTGAGTCCAAACGCGGCATTCTGATTAATATTGCGTCTTTGCAAGAAGAGCAAAACCAACCCGTTTTTAGCCATTACATGGGGCGGCCATGTTGCCACTAGTTTTGGGTGACCGGTTTTAAATCTTTCGTCTCTAGTCCCGAGAGGATTTCACCAGTCCCATTGTTTTGTTCCACTTTTACACATGTCCTGTCCCGGTATTCAAGTTCAAGTTTAAGTCAACTTTATTGTCAAATGTGCTACATGTGCAACATACAGGTACAGCACAGATGAAATTACTGTCCTCTCAACCACAGGAGAGAGAGGAGCCGCTGCGGGTGCCCGCGCTGCCATCAAAAGAACAGTTAACATAAAATGACAAAATAATAACACAACACATAAGACACAGACAGTGTCTTATCTGTATTTAATTTTTGTCCACTCAGCATGCCAGTTGTTTGGGCCATGTGTATGTCAATCACTTAGATTAACAACTCATATGATAAACCAATGAAAAGGGAATTTAACTGTTAAATTCCTTCCGCGTTTACGTTTGTGTCATACCATAAATCGAACTACTTCCTGCTTCTCTGTCAAAGAATCATGGGGAATGTAGTCTGACCGAAACGCGAGTGCAGCATTTCTGACGTCACGTTTACAATGAGACAATTAAATGTGGGAGCGCAATGTGATGTTCAGTCAATGTAGTTGCCCCTGACAAAACTTTTATCCGCTGCCGCGGGAGCACGCACAATGCGAGAAAGCAGTGTGACATTACTATACAATACATGAAGAACACACTTTTGTGTTATTTGCTTTTCCGGTTTTTCATAAAATGAGTGAATGAAAATAAACATGATTTGGCAAATCTGGTCTTTTTTCCTTTCAATCTCAGTTTGTTCTCCCAACATGACGGACAAGCAAATACAAATTACATAATCTACAACTGCGGTGGTATTGCAGGGTTGGGCGGAGCTGTGTGCGGGAAGTTTATTTGTGACGTAACTTCTGTGAAACAATCATTAAATAATGTGGAATTAATTGGATTTACCACTTCCTTGTCATTTACTCTTCCTCATTCCACCACAGTTACCAAAACAGCTGTCTGCTTGTAATTATTGATGAACCAGCTCCACTGCCCACCCTCCCCCATGGCCAGACCTTTTAAAAATGACTGTGAGGTGGAAATACGTAGTACGGTATAGGTATTCTCTCATTGAACACACCTTTTTTTTCCTATGGTTAAAGGAAAACTCAACATGAAGTGACAGCAGGCAGCAGCAAAGGCTAATTTTAGCTGCTCCTTGCCTCACAAGTCACACACACCCAAACATGATTTTCATGAAATTTGAGAGAGTAGTGCCATGCAGATTGATACAGAAATACCGATACCCCCAAACCAACTCTTTGTGTTCTAAAATCGATTCTCAAATCAAAGTATTCATACTTTTGTTACTTCTGTCATTTGAGGGAATGCACAGAATTTTGTCTTGCCTCTTTCTTCTTGCAGCGCTGTGCGCACTGTGTACCCATTTTGTTTTATGATTGTGTTTCCTTCCTTCATATTATATTTTCTTGAAAGTTATTCGGGTCACCTGGGTATTATATTGCTATTTTCACTACTGACAACAATATAGGACTTCACCTCTGCTTGATGGCATCCACCAATTACGGCACCGTTCTGGGGTTTGAAGCAAAGGTTCACGCAAAAGTCAGCGCATTTTGCCTGGCGACTTTCTCGTCTTCTAGATTTCAACCTCCTTATGCTTTAGTTTTCTTACCACCACTTCTTGCCATCACAGCTTTTTGTGGTTTCAAATGCTGTGCGCAGCTAGCTCAAATAACTTAATAGTTATTACCATAAACATTTCCAATGGTCGATAAGATATTTCCATCAATTTAACGTTTAATTGAATTTGTTCGTACTGTACAGCATATCTTTTAAAAATTCTGTCATTCTTTTGCACACCGCTAGTGGGAGCCTTACCCCACTTTGAGGATCGCTGCTTTCAATGTGAGTCGAATTACTTAACTGTCTCAGCAAGGCGGTTGCTCACCTTGGCGTGGTTGTCCCAAATTTCACAACATCGATGCTTCCCCTCTGTGCTCTGTAGACAATTCACAGCTTGGCTTTTGCTCACATATTGTTTAGCAGCTGAGGTGTTATTCAGACAGCTACGGAGCTTTCCAAACCGTTTGACAAAGGTTCAATCAATTTATAGTTTACTAACATGATTTGATGAAATGGCAGGTCATCAGTTAGATTTCCCGTTATCCAGAAATGCCTCTGAATGACGTTCATATGTGCAACCGTAATGTTTTCATATTATTCTTATTTGTTGTTGCATACGTGCTTTATTGAGTTAAATCTTCCTGGCTCTGTTCTTGCCTGCTCGCATTTACTTTTTTTTTCACTTTCTAACATTACCACTATGATGGGGGAAACAAAGTGCAGTATTTGTGCGCTTGTCTGCCTCACAGTGGATTTTGAACAACTTATTGAATGTATTCAAGAAATGCAGTATATATAATGAATATGAGTCATTTGATATAAAAAGTAGAAAAAACAATGATACATATATACAAACCGAAAGGTGTATCAATAGATAAGTATAGTACACAAAAGGGTAAAAGTATTTGATGAGATTTAGATTTCTTCTTTTTCTTTGGTATTGGAAATGATCAATATACATTATTGCACAACAAGGGGTAGGACTAGATAAGTTGTATACTTCTTCCTACTCCTTTGAACATATAACTGTGATGATGTTTGTATTGCTTACTTTTACTTTTATTTTCCTTTCATAATTTTTGTTTGCATTTTGTCATGTTATTGTATGTTTTATATATGTTCAATAAACAAACAAACAAACAAACAAACAAACAAACAAACAAACAGTTGGGAGGTGAATGGTTGTTTTTTTTTTTGCCCCCTAACGTTTGCTGCCCAAAAGTCAGCTGGTTTCACCTCCAGCTCACACACAGCTGTAATGAGGAAATGCGATAAAGAAAATGGATGGATAGAAGACAGCTATGAGCCATTATAATTGACAGCATTTATTGACGTCACCATATCACAGTTACAACAGCATCTGAACAGAATAGTTACAATGATGTATTGTAAATCCTTCACAACTACTGTTTGCTTTGCTTGCTAACAGTATTTAGTGTTTTTCTTTCCAGATAAAACAGGCAGTTGGGAGATCCACGTATTCACTCTATCAGAGTGTACAGTATGAAAATAATTATCAAGGTCAAAATTATTCCGATTTTTTAAAAGTATTCCAGTCGTCAGTAAAAATAGTGCACTAATGCCTGCTACAAGTGGAAGATAGGGACCCAGCACCCCCCCCCCCACACACACACAAAATGGAGAGGATAATAATAATAACTAAAAAAATGATTGTATGATGTCTACAGGAGTTCAAATGTTCAGAGTGGCAATGTACAATGGCGTGTGCTCAAGTAAAAAAAAAAAAAAAAAGTGGTATTCCGTTTGGATTGGATAATTTACTTTTGCCTCTAATAACACAGAAAATGAATCATCTGCAAAGCTCCAACACCATGCAGCTAGCTTGTACACCAGGGGTGCCCATTACGTCGATCCTGATCTACCGGTAGATCTAGGACTCGTCCCAATTAGATCCGAAAGGTGTAGAGGAGGAAAAAAAAAAAAAGTGTGTCTTTGGACATGTTAGGAATATATATTTTTTGTGTTAATGCACACTGCACCCTAATCATCCTATCAGTCTCATTTTCCCAAAGAAAGATTTTAAAAATAAAATAAAGCATATAAATCTTTAACCTACGGTGGCGCGTGACTAGTCAGCGGAAGTTGTTAATGCTCAGCAGTCTGCAATTGCAGCTTGTGATCAGAGCTGTTACGCTATATCTTTAATCGTCATTATTCTCATTCAGAGTTTGCTTCGTGTACTATTCACCGAGGGCACGGGCAAAGAATAGGAATCTAGAGGGCTAAGGGAAGCACTTTAAAACGGTACGCGTGAGCTACGACAGTCAACGGGCTGCTAAAGTGCATCGTTTGGTTCCGTGTTTGGCTTCATATCATGCCGCGCGTGCGTGCGTGCGTGTGCGTGTGCGTGTGCGTGTGTGTGTGTGTGTGTGTGTGTGTGCGTGTGGTTGTGCGCGCGTGAGTGCGCATGCGCGGTAAGGGGGCGATCCGGGGAGGTTGGTTGAACGAAAAGTAGATCTTTGATTCAAAAAGTTTGGGCACCCCTGATGTACACTATTATGAATCCTTGTTTCATAACAATTGTGTTCAGTAGTGAAATTCTTCAGCAGAATCAAACCACCTTGCATGAGGCTCAGCGATCATTTTTGCTAGCACAGTGAGCCGAAGTGAGACGAGAGCGCAAGTTGATGTGACCGCACACATGGACAAACAAATAAGCATACAAGAACTTTCAACTCACTTTATGGCATTTACACACAATAATTAATGTCAGGGAATACAGGCAAATAGTCAAGGCCCAGTCGAAGTCGAATACAAGGACTAACAGCTGCAAAATAAGAGAAGCAAATACAAACTTTGACTTTCACTTTGACTGCTCCTTCATATATGGTACATTTAAAGACTGAAAACAACAGTGGACATCTCATTCACAAATGAAAAAAACAAACAAACAAATGAAACCTAACAATAACACCATAATGCCAAAATAATACTTTTATTGCTTTGGCCCGGCCACATTCCAATGGAATAGACAAGTTTCTCAGTAAATAATGGACAATAACCCCCCCCCCCCCCAAATAACACTAATAGGTGAATTTGTCAATGCCGAACCATGAATATGTGGGGGTTCTCCGTCTATAAAAGCTAAACAAAAATAATGTTAAAATATTTCGCCTAGGCCAATATTTAAAGACTTGTACAACCAAACCCCAATACGTACGTCATTTTACAAATGATTCTTACGCAAACAGACAGTATAATGAACTATGGGAAACCACCATCAAGTTGTTCATTGTGATAAAGTATTTGGAAATCCTTAACAAAGAGAGGACACTTCAAACCATTTCAGCTCAGTTGCATTTTCAAGAAAACTTCACATTTCTGTGCAGGTTTTAGGGCAATTAGCCGCTTGCATCCCTTCAACCTTGACCCAGAGATTTTTTTTTTTAAATCATTTAAATTTTTTGGTAAAACACCACTTTCCCATATTTATCTTTTGACATCGACACAGTAATAAACGGACAATGACTGAGACTGATTTGATGGAATTCATCGAGGAACAAAAAGTTTTCTTCAACCTCCCCGCCTCTCAAATGTGCCGTGTCTTTGTCAAAAACTGGACTGACAAGTTTGCAGTTGAGGCTTTTCTGTGCGCGTGAAATGTGATGACATGCCGCACCTGAGGCTGTTATGTTCTTGCTCTGACACCAGTAATCTTTTGAATTAATTCATCTTTTAATCTGATTTCCCGGCTGTGGGAAATACCTCAGTGGCCTTGATGGACACAAGTAGGTTAAAAGATTAAATCACTTGCACGCACCTAAAAATAAACGTAGGTTTCGACATGGCATGCCTGACGCGTAGACGCCACTTCTGTTTCCTGATTGTTTCATAGAAGTGACCGAAAAGGATGTCCTTCAAAAACACATAAATGAGCACAAATATTGGACACATATAAATTAATCCCTCATCTTTTTTTTCACCTGAGATGAGAATGTCAAGCACGTGTTTAATTTATTTTAACAAATTTTATGACCGGCGTGGGTGGACATTACTTCAATTCTGTTCATGGCTAAACAGCGGTTTACTCCTTTTGGGAGACAAAAATCCACCTGACCCACACGTACTCGTGGTTCGGCACTTGTGAATTTGCATTCTTGTGGATGATTTTTTTTTTTTTTTCAATTAAAGAAAAAAAATCTTAAATATTTTTTGTGGTGGTTTGGGATTTTGAACGAACTCATACATACTCGCAATTGACACTGAGCACAGACCGATGACCCGACTTTAGATCAGCACCAAAATTGTACACATTCACAGACGCCCACCTGCTGCGTGGGCCTCCGGTGTGCAATGAACGATTCACAAAGAAATTGCAAAGAATGCCCTTGCAAAAACAGCGGGGATGAAACAGATCTACAACTTTATCTAGTTCCACTCCTAAATCTAATGGGTTCCCGATATCGGCACACGCCCCAATTGCACAGTACATCATGTTGAAGTAGTTGGTGATTTTGTAATAGTACGCCATGAATATGTAGCCTCATTATCTGAGATGCAAAGAGGTTGACAGTTAACTCTTAAATCGGACGTTTGATGAATTACAAAATCTGAGGTTAAATAGAGGAAGCAAAGCAGGATACACTCAGTACAACACTGTACTGTCGAGCTGCTCTTTACATGCGCCATCAGCACAAACAAAGAAGGCCGACCCGTTTTCAACTGGACTCCATTGTTGTTGGACATAGCGAAAATATTTGGTTTTTATAAAGGTCCCTTTGCATTACCTGGCGTTCTTAAAGCTGTGCCAGCATGTTAATCAGACAACTATGCATTTCGTGCGAACAGGATCTAGTTACCGTAAACTTGTCCAGTGATGAAGAGTTCAGTACTGAGCTCGTCCACATTCCTGAATGCCAGTCAACGTCAACATTTTTGTTGAAGGTATTCAGGACTGCAGTTTCTTAATCCAAATCACGTGAGAACCACAAGACTGACACCTCATCACCCGTGTTCTTGTGTTTTCAAGCTTATTGGGCGTTGGATATACAGTATAGCTATCCATTTTCTCTATCGCCAGTCAATCACAGGATACATTGAGGCAAACACGTGTTCACAGTCACCCCTAAAACCCCCTGGCAAAAAATTTTTCACGATGTTCATGGTAAAAAAAAAAAATACAGAATCACTAATCTCAGAGGATGTTCATTCAGTTGTTTCAATTTGTATTAAAAAAGTAGATCACAGACATGACATAAAACTAAAGTCATTTCAATGGCAACTTTCCGGCTTCAAAGAAACACTAATAAAAATCAAGAAAAAAATGCAGTAGTTACATTTTTTAGACCCAACAAAGTCAAAATATTATGGAATCATTCAATTCTGAAGAAAAAAAAAATGGAATCACCCCTGTAAATTTCCATTCCCAAAACTAATAGCTACATCAAATTGGAACTGCTCGTTAGTCTGCAATTAAACAGGAGTGAGTACACCTCGGAGAGCTGTTGTACCAAATGGGCTGACATGAATCATGGCTCAATTAAAACAAAGGGGAGGATTACCAAACTTCCGAAAGAAGGTAAACCATCACGCAATGCTGCACAACGTGATTGTTCACGGCCAGCTGTGTCTAAAATCCAAAACAAGTACAAACAACCGGGGAAGTTTGTCAAAGGCAAGCACTCTGGGAGACCAAGGAAGACATCAAAGCGTCAAGCCATTAAAAAAAAAAAAAAAAAAAAAAACTCAAGGAAATGGGATTTATATCCAGAAAAGCTAAACAAAAGCCATCAAAAATAACGTCAAAACAGGACAAAAAAAGTGTACAGTGGGCTAAGGAAAAGAAATTGTGGACAGTGGATGACTTAGAAAAGTGATATTCATTGATGAATCGCGATTCCGCATTGGGCAAGGTGATGACGCCGAAATATTTGTTTGGTGCCGTTCCAATGAGATTTATGAAGATGACTGTCGGAAGAAAACATGACCATTCCCATAGTCATTGATCATAAGGGGCTGCGTGTCAGGTAAAGGCACGGGGGGCAGACGTCTGCCATTACGTCTTCAATAGAAGCACAACTTGTCACTGACGTTTCAGACACTTTTCGTATTCCATCAATTGAATGGACGTTTGGGGATGATCAAGTTGAGTGTGCATCTAGCCAAACAAAGACAAATAAGGTCAATAGCAAAGCTCCAACCTGCAAAATTGATCTGGCAAAAGCAAGCTGAGAAAGTTGGTGCCAGATTGAACTCTGTTTATCACTAATTAGAGCTGTTAGCAAAGCCAGAGGTGGTGCAACAAAGTACTAGTGGTGTATAGTGAAGTGTTATTTTGGTGGTTTTCCTCACAATTGAGTGATTCCATAATTTTTGTGTGGGGTTATAGGGATCATTAGAGAGCAGGGGTCACCACCGGGTAGCCCCCAAGGACCACGTGAGTAGCCCACACGCTTGTTGTAAAAATAACTCACCAGTGGAGCAATCATTTGAAAACGTTAATATTTGCAGAGATTCGTGTTGTCTTGTAACACCCTCATGAGCTAGATAATGGATTGACAGTTTTTTGTTTTTGTTTTTGTTTTTTTTTTTTTAGTCCGGGAAAGCCGGTAAGCTGATGCTTCTTCTGTGGGAACTGTATCGATCGCTGACTTTATTTTGCCCTCTGTACGAAACTCTGAAAGTAGCTCTGTTGCTGTAGTTTTTCTCCGCAGCAGGTTTGACAAAGTCCTTTTCAGACGGGGAATGTCTGACACTCTCCTTATTGCTAAAATGTTTCTCTGACACCGAAGTCCCAGACACAGAAAACGATTCTGTACTTTTGACATTATACTGATACAGCTTTTCCCTGAAAGCACTGCTGGTGTTTTGGGCTTTCCGAAAAAGAATGATGTAGCACTTTGGGAGGAAATGACAGCCTATGATGCCATAGTTGGAGATGAGAATGACCACCATTTCCACAGCCGGAAGATACAGTCCATCAGCGGTGATGTAGATGGGGACGAAAATCATCCAGGAGGTGAGGTAAAGCAGCATGCTGAAGGTAATGAATTTCGCCTCATTGTACCGCTGTGGTAATTTACGCCCCACGAAGGCACAGACGAAACAAACAAAAGCCAAAAGTGCGATATAGCCTAGCATCACGCCGAAGGCCACGTATGATCCTTCATGGCAGTATTCCAACATAGTTTTGGGCTGTGAAACAACATGTTTATAAGGGCTCTTGAGGACCAGCCAGCAGATGCAAATAGTAACCTGGAAGGCTACACAGGCAACGACAATTAAGTAGGACTGGTAGACTTTCCGGAGCGCTCCCTGCATGTCGATATTCGACTGGAATGCCAGAAGGATCTTCAGGGATTTGACCAGGATGCAGGACACGCACACAGTGAAGCTGATGCCAAAGAGCATTTGTCGCACTTTACACTGGAGCGAGCGAGGCCGGCCGACAAACAGCACGACGCTGATGAAACTTACAACCAAAGAGTACAGGATGACCTGAGTCAGGGGTCCTCCGGCGGCTCTCACGACAGGGGTGTCTCGCTTATGGAGAAACAGTGCCGACACCAGCAGAACCAGCAGGATGCCCAGACCTGAGAACGCCAGGAGCGCCAGGGCAAAGCGGTCCTGCCACGTGAAGAAGATGACAGTTTTCGGCAAGCACAGGGCGCTTCCCTGAGGAGACCACTCCGTTTTTTTATCACAGCTCATACATTCGTCCATATCTGGAAGAAGGAAGAGGGCCGTTCGTGAGTACCCAATGAATTCAAGCGGTTCGTTTAAGACAATGAAAAGGATGGAGACAATGTGTAGACAATTGTGTGTTGGAGTTTCACCTTGCAGGTAATTTGCAACCGCTCTTTCAAGAGCACTAATTGTCTCTTTTGACCCTCTAACCCTAACCCTGACTTCAACTTGGAATAGCAGACGGCAATCACTTGCACTACACAATAGGGTCTGGAGCTTCGAGCAGGAACATCAAACACCCGGCATGCTGATAACAATGATGCACAAATAACATTGTCACACCCAAATTAGGTTTGGAAAAGGAGAAACTGTATTGAATGAAAAGCATGCAAGTAGCGTGCGAATGCAACCAAGCTGCTCCCCGTCAAAGCCCTCCAAACCTTCCACTTTCTTGTGCATGCAAAACAGGTTTACTTAGCAATCGAGCTAATGTTAGCATCGAAAGCTTCAAGGGAGCGAGGCTCGTTTGTCTCGGTCCCTGTCAGGAAATACACTAAGAAGTAATAATCCGTTCAATGTTTCAATCAACCATATCTGTTTATCACAGTTTATTTGTTTGAGATTTTGTCAATTAACTTACCAGCTGATTAACAAACACACTTTCCTGGAGTGAGAACGTTGTGTTACCCTTGTTTAAAAATCTAGGTTAACTATTTAAAGGTCAAAAATAGTTTTAAAAGGACAAAGAACTTGATCTTTAATGTTTGTCCTCTTTCATTCAGGTGTCCCACGGATACAAGAGAGTAGAACTGCATATTGCAACACAGCACTGTGACATGTGACATAAAAAAACAAAAACGCATCTTAAAAGAAAAAAAAAAGGCTCCTATAAGTGGCGCAATGAGTCTTTTTCACAACTGTCTTATCTCATATTTACGCCTTTGCTTGTAATCAAATCAAGTGGAGCTTGACTCACAAGGTGCGTGCTTGTGTGCCTTGCCTGACTGTAGGGTAATTAATTTAACTTTGTGTTGGCGCACGAAAGTGGAAAGACGCCCTGTGCGCAGCATGTCTGCACCCACGCACTAATTACTTGCCTGTGTCGTTGGAGTAGTAGTTCTCCGTACAGTTGATGCACTCATAGCAACAGGTGTGTAGCCCCTCCGATGTTTTCTTGAACTCCCCAGGCATGCAGCTATTGGAACATTTTGATACTATTTGCTGGAAAGCAAAGAGAAAGCATATTAGCATTCTTTTCTTCTTTTTTTTTCCCCCTTTGCCAGCGCTGTGTCAACGTCATTCGAGTACTGCTTTATGTAATGAGCAAGATTTCACCAAGGCAGGCATCTTATGTGAAAAGTTGCTCGTCACAATAAAATAAACTCAGTAAGCATGCACTGTGTTTGTGTTTTACAAAGTGATATGGAGGTGGAGGAGAGGGGTTGGGGGTCACCTGCAAGTCGTGAAAACGACCCGTGGAGTTGCTGTCCGTTAGGGTGAAGCTGCTGACTTGTGGGCTGTACTCAGCCACGATGTCATGGACGTCAATTTTCCCTTCGATTGACCTCCATAGGGCAACATCATAACCTTGGTTGATGTCACCTAGATTGTCGAATGTGTATTTCCTCCCATGACACTCAAATTCATTTCTGCGAAGCGCTTCCAATACCTGCAGAGAAATAAAACCTTAATATTAACAATTTTTTTCTTGAAGATATTGTCTTCTTGTAACGGTCTCACTTTTTTTCTAACCACAATATTCCGGCTGTATTTCGTGTTGGCTTTTCCCTTGTGGCGATACAATTTTGTCCAGACATCAATTTTATGCTGTTTAAATTCATGGGTAGGTTGGGAAATCACTTTCAGGCACATTTTAAGAAAACATATGGGTAATGAAGTTGACCTTTGTGCTTTTTTGTGTGTGTCTTTAAGCAACAAAATAAAATTGCATACACCAGTTTTCTTCAATGTGAATGTGAGCCACGTACACTGCAGGTGTGATCACTGAACGAATCTAATTCCTTGTGTGTCTTCAACTTGACAGCCTGTTTATTTAAAACACTGATTTAGATGTGGATAACCAGGAAATAGAGCATCATCATACTGAGATGTTTGCCTCAGTCTAATCCCAAAATAGATAACCCATTTAATCCCTTCCTCTAAATGCACATCTCGTAAACATTTCAAGTATTTGAATCTCTTTCAATGTGTTCGCTTTCACTTTCTATTTCTTTCACTTTACACACCTTTGGACCTACCCCAAGCTACCTCTTCTCGAAATCTATTCTTTGTTTACTCAATGACAATGTTGTTACCTAGCAGCTGTTCTCCACCACCATTTTAGCATTCGGTTCAAAGGTGTGTATGCGGTTGTTCTTCAATATTAGTTCGGTAAGTGGGTAGTATTGACTGTACCTCCCAGGGTTGCAGGTTGCCGGGAGTTTTGCAATCTCTGCTCCTGCAGAGAGAAGCTATAGCTTGAGTTATGGCGGCCACAGCCAATTCGACACTCAAGACCGTGGCCGGGTTCATGTTTTCTCTGATGATCTTCACCACTTGAGATACCGGGTCGCTGATATTCGTCTGCATGGTGAATTCTTGCAGGAAGGTGTTGATCCATGTGTTGTTGGAGCCGGTCGCCTCCAGCCTGTCCAGGTACTCGCTGAAGGATGAATGTTTGATGGTTTTGAAGTTGAAGCCCACGACGTGTCCTATATCCGCGAGGCTGAGGTCTCCTTGCACATAGCTCGCCATGGACCAGCTGTCACTGGCCAACCACACTCTCCTCATGGACTCCATGCTTTGCCCTTTTCTCAGAACCTCATTCCTCATTTCCTGGTAAATGTCTTTCATGTGAGACGACTTTGAAAAGGACACAATAACCCGCGCCTTCGGATTTTGATAGATGGTTTGGACGGCCATTCTGAAAGCGGAGTGTAAGTCCTCATCCGTACCGGTGCTCGGAAGGACGCATTTGAATGCGAGACAGATTCCGCTTTTCGCGGCTTGATCGGCAAAGTGCTCAAGTGCCGAGCGACCGTAATCACCATCCGAGATGACCATTCCCACCCAGTTCCAACCGTGGTGCTTGATGAGTTGGACCATGGCAGCCGTCTGGTGCTTATCATTAGGAACCGTCCTCATGAAGCTGGGGAAGCGGCGCTTGTCACTTAGAATCACGGCTGTTGATGAATAACTGATCTACAGACATAAAGGGCATTGTTTGTTATCATCGGGAAAGGGAACAGGTTGAACATGAAAAGAAGATTAGGAGAATTAGTTATTCATGACAAAGACTGCTGTAACAGAGCCTTTTTTTTTGTATTGGGCAATGCATAACTTTGGTTGCATAAAGGTCATGTGTGGAATACAAAGATCGCCCGGAATAAAAATATTAGTGTAACATTTTAAAATATACAGTATATTTTGATTATTATTGTTGTAGTATGTAGTGTTTTTTTAAATGCACTTTATCTCACCAAGGGTTTTTTAGAAGCATTTTCATTTCTTTTCGAATATGACAAATTCAATACAATTAAATGGTCTTTATTATGGTCTTATAAAAGAGCAGGACTGATGCTGTTAAACGGATTAAACAAAATTTGTTTTGTAGAGAAGCTGTGCACGGACAAAGATAGAGGCCACTAGTTTTTTGTGAAAATCAAGATAAATTGAAATCATGGAACTGTCCACCTCGAAATATGAATAAATCTAAATCAAACTGAGTAAAAACTCCAAACTTACTTGAGGAATCATGTCAAGGGCTAGATGCCTGGCAACAACAATCGACATTTCAGAAAAGGACGAGCCCAAAATGGCGACAACTGGTTGATCACATGTAGAGCTCGCGTGTCCTGTTCCACACTTGGCCTGCTCGATGAAGTCAGCTGTGGCTCTCAGACCCATGCTGACATCTCTGCAGGAGTCTTGGACCCGGTAGCCCAGAGTGATGTCCAGATCCATCAGGAAAGGAGATTTATTCATCGAATCAATTGCATTCATCATAGCCAGCAATAGTACGATGCTCCCCACTGATATCCTGTGTGAAAAAAAAGACATTAAAAAAAATAATACAACACTATGCACTCTCGCACATTTACCCAAATGCATTTTTCTCCACTGGGCCCTGTACATTTGCACATTAACAAAATGGTATTACGATGGTGCAAAAAGACATGGAAAGACTAATCGTGAGGCCCATTGATCAGAATTTCAAACATTCACAATGTGTCACGACTGACTGAACGATCCAAAGCGCAATTTTCAGGGTCCTAATATCAGTATTTTTTTCAGATGATCGAATTGTCAATTGTGTATATTCATCCATCCATCCATCCATCCATCCATTTTCTGATCCATTTATCCTCACAAGGGTCGCGGGAATGCTGGAGCCTATCCTAGCTGTCTTCGGGCAGCAGCCAATCGCAGAGCACACACAGATGAACAAACATCTGCACTCAGTCTCATACCTAAGCCTAAGGACTACTTCGAGGGATCAATTACTCTACCTTGCATGTTTTTGGAATGTGGGAGGAAACCGGAGTACCCGGAGAAAACCCACGCAGGCTCAGGGAGAACATGCAAACTCCACACAGGAAGGCCGGAGCCAGAATCGAACCCTGCACCTCAGCAGTCAACGCTCTAACCACTGGTCCAGCGGGCCGCCTGAATTGTGTCGATGCAGATTTTAAATAGCAGTCAACAATTATATGAAGCCTGAAGCCCCTACAGACCTCAGTGATTTCTGTGTTTTCTCCCTGGAGATGTTTTGCTGGACCTTCACTACAACCACCTCCACTTCCTTCTTGTTTGTGGGTCTTGCTGCCTTTACTCGCGGTAGGTAAAAAACATGCTTTGTTGGATTGGGATCAGACCAATGACTTGGCCTTTAAAGAACACTTGTTTTTTCCTTCAAAACATCTTCATTTACTTCCAAGATTGACTATTATTGTCAGCATGAATGTGTGACACCTGATGTGGTATACTGTACTCTTTCTTCCCTTCACCATATTTTTCTATTCCCATCATTTCGAGTCAAATTATCCCTGGATTTATCTGTCCCCAAAAACATTCCAGGTTCCCGAACATCGGGGGCCTTTTAGATGTTTTCTGGCAAAGACAAGTCTGGCTTTCCTGTACTGTACTTGAAAGTTAGCAATTTGAAACCATTGCTAAACCTTCATCGGTAATTCATGAAAGCATCTCCACGCCCGTGTACCATGTAAATTATGAAGTGATGTACTCCACATCATCCACTTTAGTTGTGTTGTTAGCTACTGTGAAAAATGAATTTAGAAATAAATAGTATAGAATGGCCAATTAAGTTGCCTCATCTCAGGGCCTGCATGTCACTTACGAGAGACCAAGTGGAAACAGGAAGATACAAGCCACAAACAAACATATAATTTGAGGTGGTTGCAGTTAGAGGCTTGGCACCCTCTGCCGATGACGATACTCGGAAGGTGGTGATTGATCCTCAGTTATTGACAGCAAATTATTTTCATATAAGTATTACAAAAAACAATTATATACAGTCAAACATCGGTTTTCGACCATAATCCGTCCCAGAAGGCTGTTCGAAAACCAAATTGTTCGAAAACCGAAACCACGTTCTTTTAAAAAAAACATTTTTTTTGGAACACGTTCTGTTCACAATGAAACGCTACATGAGGAAGCGTCTCACTTTTTCGTGTAAGGAAGGCGAGAGGAGTTAAGTGACGCATTCAAGTGCGCTCAGTTTGTTCGAGAACCGAAATTTGTTCGTCATCCGAGGCATAAAAAACTCGAAATTTTTGGTCGAAAACCGAGGTTTGACTGTATTTAGAAAGATGTCAGTGGATTTCATACTATTAAGTCTGAAAAGGCTAATGTAATAATCACAGAATAAATGCTATTTTGGGGGAAATCTGTCAATCAAGCTGACTGTCTGTACTGTATGCTTATGTCAAATCTGTTGTGTGGGGTGGATAGTGGCCACTCATCAAAAGCTTTTCTACCTCATGTCATTCGTGTTAGCAATGAAAACATTCTAGTCCAATGAAGATTTTTTGTTTCATGTCAAATTCTTCCTTTCCTCATCTTTCACTCAGCATCTATTCCTGGAGTGTGGCTTCAAAACTTCTGCGCTCACAAGGCCGACACATTGAAACGTGCCATCAACAAATAATAGTTGACTCAGAAAACATACCCTCAACAAGTTGAGGGTCTAAATGCATTTATATATTAGATAGACACAGTTTATATCCACGCACGGACAATCACAACATTACAACCACATAAACATGATAATGAGACCCATTATCATGGGAATAAATAATGTGATTTAAAAAAAGAACAGATGCCATGAAAAAGCTGCACCAAATGTCCTGCCTTTGGAAAGCTTAAAAAAAAGGTTAGTTTTTGATTGACAGTCATCGAGGTATTATGTTAACAAAAGGTTCATAATTGTAATTTTAGGTAACAGCGGTGTACAACTGTGCTGTATCATATTGAAAGATGTATCGTATCCTATTTTGGTTACCTCAATTAGTTACATTGAGACATTATTATCTACTGATCGAACTGTTGCACTCTATCTGAGTTATTTTAAACATTGCATTAGTAGTAGTAGTAGCTGTCGGGCAGAGGACACATCGGTCGTGGAAAAAATGTATCTTGGTTTCCCTTTTATTTAGTATCGATCACAAAAACCTGGCATCTGAGCCGATGTGGACTTTTTTTTTTTTTAATCCACTTTACATGTAAATGCAGTATGTAAGTAACTTGAAACCTACTTGGAACGCAAATTCAACAAAACAACTAAAAAGGATATCAGAATGAATCCGAATTAATATCCAGAGACACTAGAGCATATGTCATAAGTCACATGGTGTGGAAAAACATTGTTACGCATTAGATTTATAAAGAAGTCGAACTTACCCAACACACTTGTGAGACTGGGGAGCAAAGGAACTGTTGTTATATGTGTCAACACCTTGATGGAGGGGGAACATTCCTCCGATGATAAAATGTCCTCTGGCTGTAACTTCTGGTGCTTTAGTATCATATTCCAAGGCCACATTACCCAAAATAATGCAACAAACATTGACGTACAAATAAAGTAAAGCTGAAATCTGTGCCATAATTGTGGCCTCGACTTCCCTCCCTTCTCTCACCGGCTCGTCTGCACCTCTTTACCTCAGGCAAAGTGATGCATTTCTATTTAAGCATCATTGCTGGGGCCAAGAAAACCACTCCTCTGGCTTTGTCATTCTCAAATCTCTGATCTCATTACCTCTCCGTTGGCCCTGCCCACTCGTATGTGACTGCCAAGTGACTCAATGTTGCAGCAACATATTTCTTGTTGTGCATAAAACATATCTTCTTCAGATGATTAGAGGGCACAGTGGTTTAGTCTCTGTATGGAAGTAGCACAATACGTTAAACATACTTTAAAAACTCAATAAAATTCATGAGTTCATATCTGATATTGTGTAGAAACATGGTGAAGTGCATGTGAAACTCAAATACAGTGCATTTTTCAATGACAAAAAAAAAATTGGGGACCTCGAAGCCACACACCATGTACACACAAAGCGCTAACCGATTACCGTATTGTGTGTTCAATTAGTGCAGGCACACTGCTACTGAATGTGTAAGAAGTATGCATCGAGTTTACAGTGACTCACTCTTCTTCGGCGTAGATTCCGTGCGTGGAGGGAATGGCCCAACGCCTGAACGGCTGGTACGTGTCTTGCTAGATAATTTAGAGACGTGAACGCTGGGGGTTGAGTGTCCTTTGAGCGACCAGGATTGGTGGAGGGAACCTCAGGCAAACACATGCATCTACAAGTAAGCAATGAATATTCACTAACTTTTCAGCGTAATTGACGTCACAACATTGACAAAAATTGATCCCAGGGTTAGTGAAATGACAAATGTGCCCAACACATTCTCAGATATGAAAGCACGGCACTCTTAAACCAGTGACCGGCATTGTGTATCATTGCTATCATAACAACTGCTACGCTCTCATTCAAGAAAGAAGCACAAAATGGCGGCATTTGCGCTTGGAACATCCCACAGGTGAACAGGCGAACTGGGAACAGGTGGGTGCCATGATTGGGAATAAAATTTGAATTGCTCAGTCATTCACAAGCAAAGTTGGGATGAGATTCAGCTCTTTGTGAACAGCTGTGTGAGAAAATAGTTGAACAGTTTAGGATATATGAATTTCGGAATTAGGTTCAGAGAAGCTGGACAAATCACTGCATGCAAGCGGCAAGGCCAAAAAACAACATTGAGTGCCCGTGACCTTCGATCCCTCATGCAACACTGCTTCAAAAACTGACATCAGTGTGTAAAGGATATCACCACATGGGCTCAGGAACACTTCAGATGACCAATGTCAGTAAATACAGTTCAGCGCTACATCCGTAAGTGCAACTTAAAACTCTACTATGCAAAGCAACAGCCAGAAACAATACCTGCTTCTCTGGGCCCAAGATCATGTAATATGGACTAATGCAAAGTGGAAAGATTTCTGTGGTTTGACAAGATAAGATATCCTTTATTTGTCCCATACTGGGGAAATTTACAGTCTACAGCAGCAAGATTGTGGGTAGAAGGAAGAAAGAAGAAAAACAAAGTGTTTGCATTCACAAAATAAATGTTACAGTTTCAATGTATACCGTTTAATTAAGTGCAATATAAATATATATCT